TTTTTATCATCTCTTTAGTTTAATTTATTTTCATTAGCCTTTAAGTACTAACCTAGTTTTAAGACGGCAAGGGGTTTTTTAATTTTTTTTCCCCTTGTTATACTAACGCTAGTAAATTAAGCTAAAGAGATAATACGAAGTAAGTTTTTGCAGACTAATTACTTTTTATCATCTCTTTAGTTTAATTTATTTTCATTAGCCTTTAAGTACTAACCTAGTTTTAAGACGGCAAGGGGTTTTTTAATTTTTTTTCCCCTTGTTATACTAACGCTAGTAAATTAAGCTAAAGAGATAATACGAAGTAAGTTTTTGCAGACTAATTACTTTTTATCATCTCTTTAGTTTAATTTATTTTCATTAGCCTTTAAGTACTAACCTAGTTTTAAGACGGCAAGGGGTTTTTTAATTTTTTTTCCCCTTGTTATACTAACGCTAGTAAATTAAGCTAAAGAGATAATACGAAGTAAGTTTTTGCAGACTAATTACTTTTTATCATCTCTTTAGTTTAATTTATTTTCATTAGCCTTTAAGTACTAACCTAGTTTTAAGACGGCAAGGGGTTTTTTAATTTTTTTTCCCCTTGTTATACTAACGCTAGTAAATTAAGCTAAAGAGATAATACGAAGTAAGTTTTTGCAGACTAATTACTTTTTATCATCTCTTTAGTTTAATTTATTTTCATTAGCCTTTAAGTACTAACCTAGTTTTAAGACGGCAAGGGGTTTTTTAATTTTTTTTCCCCTTGTTATACTAACGCTAGTAAATTAAGCTAAAGAGATAATACGAAGTAAGTTTTTGCAGACTAATTACTTTTTATCATCTCTTTAGTTTAATTTATTTTCATTAGCCTTTAAGTACTAACCTAGTTTTAAGACGGCAAGGGGTTTTTTAATTTTTTTTCCCCTTGTTATACTAACGCTAGTAAATTAAGCTAAAGAGATAATACGAAGTAAGTTTTTGCAGACTAATTACTTTTTATCATCTCTTTAGTTTAATTTATTTTCATTAGCCTTTAAGTACTAACCTAGTTTTAAGACGGCAAGGGGTTTTTTAATTTTTTTTCCCCTTGTTATACTAACGCTAGTAAATTAAGCTAAAGAGATAATACGAAGTAAGTTTTTGCAGACTAATTACTTTTTATCATCTCTTTAGTTTAATTTATTTTCATTAGCCTTTAAGTACTAACCTAGTTTTAAGACGGCAAGGGGTTTTTTAATTTTTTTTCCCCTTGTTATACTAACGCTAGTAAATTAAGCTAAAGAGATAATACGAAGTAAGTTTTTGCAGACTAATTACTTTTTATCATCTCTTTAGTTTAATTTATTTTCATTAGCCTTTAAGTACTAACCTAGTTTTAAGACGGCAAGGGGTTTTTTAATTTTTTTTCCCCTTGTTATACTAACGCTAGTAAATTAAGCTAAAGAGATAATACGAAGTAAGTTTTTGCAGACTAATTACTTTTTATCATCTCTTTAGTTTAATTTATTTTCATTAGCCTTTAAGTACTAACCTAGTTTTAAGACGGCAAGGGGTTTTTTAATTTTTTTTCCCCTTGTTATACTAACGCTAGTAAATTAAGCTAAAGAGATAATACGAAGTAAGTTTTTGCAGACTAATTACTTTTTATCATCTCTTTAGTTTAATTTATTTTCATTAGCCTTTAAGTACTAACCTAGTTTTAAGACGGCAAGGGGTTTTTTAATTTTTTTTCCCCTTGTTATACTAACGCTAGTAAATTAAGCTAAAGAGATAATACGAAGTAAGTTTTTGCAGACTAATTACTTTTTATCATCTCTTTAGTTTAATTTATTTTCATTAGCCTTTAAGTACTAACCTAGTTTTAAGACGGCAAGGGGTTTTTTAATTTTTTTTCCCCTTGTTATACTAACGCTAGTAAATTAAGCTAAAGAGATAATACGAAGTAAGTTTTTGCAGACTAATTACTTTTTATCATCTCTTTAGTTTAATTTATTTTCATTAGCCTTTAAGTACTAACCTAGTTTTAAGACGGCAAGGGGTTTTTTAATTTTTTTTCCCCTTGTTATACTAACGCTAGTAAATTAAGCTAAAGAGATAATACGAAGTAAGTTTTTGCAGACTAATTACTTTTTATCATCTCTTTAGTTTAATTTATTTTCATTAGCCTTTAAGTACTAACCTAGTTTTAAGACGGCAAGGGGTTTTTTAATTTTTTTTCCCCTTGTTATACTAACGCTAGTAAATTAAGCTAAAGAGATAATACGAAGTAAGTTTTTGCAGACTAATTACTTTTTATCATCTCTTTAGTTTAATTTATTTTCATTAGCCTTTAAGTACTAACCTAGTTTTAAGACGGCAAGGGGTTTTTTAATTTTTTTTCCCCTTGTTATACTAACGCTAGTAAATTAAGCTAAAGAGATAATACGAAGTAAGTTTTTGCAGACTAATTACTTTTTATCATCTCTTTAGTTTAATTTATTTTCATTAGCCTTTAAGTACTAACCTAGTTTTAAGACGGCAAGGGGTTTTTTAATTTTTTTTCCCCTTGTTATACTAACGCTAGTAAATTAAGCTAAAGAGATAATACGAAGTAAGTTTTTGCAGACTAATTACTTTTTATCATCTCTTTAGTTTAATTTATTTTCATTAGCCTTTAAGTACTAACCTAGTTTTAAGACGGCAAGGGGTTTTTTAATTTTTTTTCCCCTTGTTATACTAACGCTAGTAAATTAAGCTAAAGAGATAATACGAAGTAAGTTTTTGCAGACTAATTACTTTTTATCATCTCTTTAGTTTAATTTATTTTCATTAGCCTTTAAGTACTAACCTAGTTTTAAGACGGCAAGGGGTTTTTTAATTTTTTTTCCCCTTGTTATACTAACGCTAGTAAATTAAGCTAAAGAGATAATACGAAGTAAGTTTTTGCAGACTAATTACTTTTTATCATCTCTTTAGTTTAATTTATTTTCATTAGCCTTTAAGTACTAACCTAGTTTTAAGACGGCAAGGGGTTTTTTAATTTTTTTTCCCCTTGTTATACTAACGCTAGTAAATTAAGCTAAAGAGATAATACGAAGTAAGTTTTTGCAGACTAATTACTTTTTATCATCTCTTTAGTTTAATTTATTTTCATTAGCCTTTAAGTACTAACCTAGTTTTAAGACGGCAAGGGGTTTTTTAATTTTTTTTCCCCTTGTTATACTAACGCTAGTAAATTAAGCTAAAGAGATAATACGAAGTAAGTTTTTGCAGACTAATTACTTTTTATCATCTCTTTAGTTTAATTTATTTTCATTAGCCTTTAAGTACTAACCTAGTTTTAAGACGGCAAGGGGTTTTTTAATTTTTTTTCCCCTTGTTATACTAACGCTAGTAAATTAAGCTAAAGAGATAATACGAAGTAAGTTTTTGCAGACTAATTACTTTTTATCATCTCTTTAGTTTAATTTATTTTCATTAGCCTTTAAGTACTAACCTAGTTTTAAGACGGCAAGGGGTTTTTTAATTTTTTTTCCCCTTGTTATACTAACGCTAGTAAATTAAGCTAAAGAGATAATACGAAGTAAGTTTTTGCAGACTAATTACTTTTTATCATCTCTTTAGTTTAATTTATTTTCATTAGCCTTTAAGTACTAACCTAGTTTTAAGACGGCAAGGGGTTTTTTAATTTTTTTTCCCCTTGTTATACTAACGCTAGTAAATTAAGCTAAAGAGATAATACGAAGTAAGTTTTTGCAGACTAATTACTTTTTATCATCTCTTTAGTTTAATTTATTTTCATTAGCCTTTAAGTACTAACCTAGTTTTAAGACGGCAAGGGGTTTTTTAATTTTTTTTCCCCTTGTTATACTAACGCTAGTAAATTAAGCTAAAGAGATAATACGAAGTAAGTTTTTGCAGACTAATTACTTTTTATCATCTCTTTAGTTTAATTTATTTTCATTAGCCTTTAAGTACTAACCTAGTTTTAAGACGGCAAGGGGTTTTTTAATTTTTTTTCCCCTTGTTATACTAACGCTAGTAAATTAAGCTAAAGAGATAATACGAAGTAAGTTTTTGCAGACTAATTACTTTTTATCATCTCTTTAGTTTAATTTATTTTCATTAGCCTTTAAGTACTAACCTAGTTTTAAGACGGCAAGGGGTTTTTTAATTTTTTTTCCCCTTGTTATACTAACGCTAGTAAATTAAGCTAAAGAGATAATACGAAGTAAGTTTTTGCAGACTAATTACTTTTTATCATCTCTTTAGTTTAATTTATTTTCATTAGCCTTTAAGTACTAACCTAGTTTTAAGACGGCAAGGGGTTTTTTAATTTTTTTTCCCCTTGTTATACTAACGCTAGTAAATTAAGCTAAAGAGATAATACGAAGTAAGTTTTTGCAGACTAATTACTTTTTATCATCTCTTTAGTTTAATTTATTTTCATTAGCCTTTAAGTACTAACCTAGTTTTAAGACGGCAAGGGGTTTTTTAATTTTTTTTCCCCTTGTTATACTAACGCTAGTAAATTAAGCTAAAGAGATAATACGAAGTAAGTTTTTGCAGACTAATTACTTTTTATCATCTCTTTAGTTTAATTTATTTTCATTAGCCTTTAAGTACTAACCTAGTTTTAAGACGGCAAGGGGTTTTTTAATTTTTTTCCCCCTTGTTATACTAACGCTTTACATCCAATCGCTAAAATAACAACACCCCTCACGGTAACACACACGGTTCCAACAACAACACAGTCGTCGCATCCATCCACCCACTTTCCATTCACAAGCTCTGTAAATTACATAACTGACAACACGAACACGCTTCCCAAAATCCAACCTCTGGGTCCACGTCCCGGGAAGTGGTAACATTATTCGACCGATCGTCGAATGATGGCCAAAGAGGCTCTGGTGCCAAGATTGTTTTTGATTTAGAAATTTAATACCAGAAACCGTTGTTAAAATTACAATTTCAATCTCCAAAGCGATACTCAGCACACGCTTGGATCGACTAAGCGGATTGTTTGGTTTACTTTTCAGAAACAATATGTTAGGCCGTTCTGCACCAAACTGTTCTAATAAAGGCAGACATGACCTGACCAATTACGTTACATTGATTACAATAAAACAAATACTGTAATACTATTAATTATCATTATTATTATATTATTAATATTAATTATTCTTTACTTTTTGATGTTGTTNATAAATTCGAAAATGTAAAAAGGAACGAAAATTCGGTTCGCCGCTCTCTTGCAATATTTATTTAATCGAATATTCAATTAATTATAATACAATAGAGCGTCGATTATCCGAATCAATTGGGGACTGGGGTTGTTCGGAAGATCGATGTTTCGGATAACCGATCATGCACGAAAAAATATATTAATTTATCCCATCTTGACATTTTCTTCCGTTGCGTGTCGCTTCGCGTTGAATTTTCGTCGATGTTAAGCCTAACGAAGACTATTGTATCGTTAAAAATTATTTTTTTATTTTGTACGAACAAAATAAATATATTGAAAAATATAAAAACAATAAAAAATTATACTGTACTTGAGAAGTTAATTTAGTATCAAAAACGTAAAATATTTGAGTAGCCCAAGACATAGCCAAGATTGCAGCGCCACAGCACTGGCGAAAATTTAAATTTGCCGACTGGAATTCTTTCGGATGATTGACTTTCGGATAATCGACGCTCTACTGTATATAATATTAATTTAATATAATATTAATTACGATTCGCTTTAAACGAAAATTAGAACATAAAACGGCTAATTGAGAGCTATGCCTAATTGGAACGGAGTCCGTTTCGGTGGTTTGAATCTTTGCGGGTAACCCCGAAACGGACGGCCGCCATTTTGAATAAAGTAAAGGATGCTCATCTGAAGAACAAAAACGGTATCGAGCAAGAAAAGCAAACAGGCTCCGAAAATGCACCAGAACACGAAAGCAAAGCGCAGGCACGTCAGCACCCAAGAAAGCAGAAGAAACAACTGCAACGTTTGCCATCGTCATGCGTTGTAACAATACTTTTATTCTATTGTTAACAAAAACATTTATTATTTTTATTTTAAAATAAAATTTTTAAATTAAAAATTGAGAAAAAAAACGCTCCGCCAGCTGGAAGAGGATGTTCTTTCGTTCTATTAGAATGGAAAAAAACTTTGCAGTGGCAGAAGGCCGGAATTTTCGAAAATTATCGGAGATATTACGATTTTGGAGCGTTTGCATTTGTCGGCGAATTCGATAATTAATTGAAAATGTTTAAAAATAATATTTAGAGACGATATTTGCTCGGAGTACAGATTTTCTATAAAATTTGCATAATAAAAGATAATGTACTAATCGTCGTGTCGTATAACTGTAGATATTTAATTAAAGAGCCGGCCGCTCGTCACGTGATGTTCGACGTGTTTCGGTTTCGCAGTATGTCGCAGTTGTTTCTTCTGCTTTCTTGGGTGCGGACGTACCTGCGCTTTTTTCTTGTGTTCTGGTGCCTTTTCGGAGCCTGTTTGCTTTTTTTGCTCGAGACCGTTTTTGTTCTTCTTTAGGTAAGCATCCTTTACTTTATTCAATGTGACGGCCGTCCGNTCTTGTGTTCTGGTGCCTTTTCGGAGCCTGTTTGCTTTTTTTGCTCGAGACCGTTTTTGTTCTTCTTTAGGTAAGCATCCTTTACTTTATTCAATGTGACGGCCGTCCGTTTCGGAGTTATCCGCAAAGATTCAATCCACAGAAACGGGCTCCGTTCCAATTAGGCTTAACTCGCAATTAGCCGTTTTATGTTCTAATTTTCGTTTAAAGCGAATCGTAATTAATATTATATATTATAATTAATCGAATATTCGATTAAATAAATATTACGAGAGAGCGGCGAACGGAATTTCGTTCCTTTTTACATTTTCGAATTTATTCCGTTATTATGTACGTAATCCGTGACGTAAGATTTAATTCTCGAGACAAATACGTAAAATATCCGTTTCGGTCGACTTTAAAATTGAAATAAAATTTATTTCGATACGAATCCAATAAATAAATTAGTTATCGGCGGGAGTGACGTCCGATTTCCTACGTTGGGGACGAAAACGCGATTCCATTGGATATATATTTTCATTCAACGGCCAATGGACATCGCTTTCTCGGCAGACCACGTAATCGATTCGACACCGAGTTAAACCTGGCGTGGGGTGACCCAAATGTGGGTGGGCAACGACAGATCGCTTGAACGAGCCGTCGAAAAGCCAGACTTGTAATTTGCGTATTTAAGCAAAAAGATCTTCTTTTGTAATATAGAATTTGAAAACGACGGCAATTTTTTGGTCTTTGACGACGCTCGACCGACTTTTGAGCCACCTCGTATAAGATGCGATCATAATATCATAAAGTACTCAGCAAATCATTATACATATACAAATACTTAACACCTTATTCTTGCCGAGAAATATAATTTATTCGAAACAAACTAACGTTTTCAGCCTGATTCACAGGCCATCTTCAGGTTTAGAATACATTTGAATTAAAATTCCATCAATGGAATACAAAATTTAAATTCAAAATTAAATAAGGTACAATTAAAATAAAATATTAAATAACCAACATAAAACAAAAATAAAAATATAAAAACAAAACAAAACAAAACATTTAGCTTTAACCATTTAGCTTTATTGAATGATCTCGTTAACCTCGAAAACACAATATATAATGAAGATCCAGAGAAACTAGTAGACGTTAATAAAAGAGTACTCGATCTAGCTGAAGCAGTCCAGAAGAATTCTACTAACAATTATGTAAAGAAATTAAAATGGATTATGCATAAACAAAAGGTTAGAAATACAAAGAAAAACCTTATTGCTTTCCGCACATGGGACCAAATAGAAGTACCAGAAAAGATCAAGAAGCTTCTAAAAAAAGGCCCAAATTTTGTTCCAGTGGAGGCCATGAATTGGGAAACCTCAGTACAGGAAATTGAAAGGGGCATTGTTGGGCTAGACGATTTAGAAAAAGAGTACTTCAGATGGAAAGCAGTCCTTAACAACAGACAGAGGGACCGAAAGCAAGATATTGGAAGTAGTGACATCCGGCTCACTAAGAATTGGTTAAAGCAGAATGATTTGGTGTTGACTAGGGCAGATAAAAGTAAACAACTAGTCATCATGAAAAGGCGTACGTATAACGAAGCACTAATGGATTACATCGAAAAGACAGAGTGTGAAAAGATCAACAGCAATTTTATTGGAAGCTTGGATAGAAGGGTCAGGAAGCTAGAGGTCTCTAAACTTTCCAAAGCTTTGCCTTTTCTCAAGAAATGCAGGAACCCTAGACCTGGAACACCTAGGTTATTTGCTTTCGCTAAGGTGCATAAAACCGGTAAAGAAATAAGACCGGTTGTAGAGAAATGCAGAGGTCCCACGTTTGTGTTAGAAAAGAGGTTGCATAAGTATTTATCCTCTCAGCTAGACACAGATACTCTAGTTGCACGTGATCCTATGAAGGTAGTTAAGGATCTACAAAATATAGCATTAATGGAAGATGAAGTTGCAACTGTCTTCGACTATGAAAGCATGTATCCGTCAGTAAAGATAGAATCGTGCGAGGAGGCGCTATTGGATTTCTTATACTGTAATAACTCGGAATTGCTTAGTTATACTGAAGAAGTAGAGAGTTTGACTAGTTTGGTCTGCCGTGAATCTTGTTTCGCTTTTAATGGACAGATCTACAGACAGAGAAGAGGGGTCCCTATGGGAAGCCCGCTCTCAGGGATCCTATGCGAATTGGTAGTTAGGAGACTGGAAAGAAGAATTTTTCATGGTTTTAAGGAGGATATCATGTATTTTAGCAGATACGTTGATGACCTACTTATATTATGGAGAAATAACAGCAGAATT